ATAGAATATTAGATCAGTTTAATTACATCGGTCGGGGCTGTGAAAAATCCACACCCTGGAGCCGCATTATTAAGCCAACCTAAATCCTCACGTAGACAGCGCTAGGCTGACAGAAGAATTCTTCTGGTGACTTATCTACCATTTCTTGTGGAGGTGGATTACCTTCGCCAATGGGAGAACCCTTCCCATTGGTGTAGGTAGTGTCTACACTGAATGCTACAGTGGAGCAGCTGTGCTGCTGAAGCATTTTAAATGTAGACAAGCCCTAAAAGAGACCTTGTACGTTGCTTACAAGGAATAGAAGCATAGGTCTTTTCTTATGTCTCATCCCTAACTATGGGCTACACCAGTTTCTATATATTGGCTGCTCCACTGTGCATGAATGATGTGACGGCTTTGGAACTGTTCTATATTAATTCAGGAACAATAAATGTTCTGTTGGTCTGATTGTTGTAAGGGACGCTGTGTACAAGGGGTTAATTCAAGCAGGAGCTGGTTGCACTGTGCAGGAAAGAGGACAACAGCTTCAGATAGCTACCATTTCATTACACTCGGGGAACAATACTAGACATATTCACTTTAATAGCCTGCTTCTTGTCCCCTACTGAGCTCAATGGGCCAGTTTGTCAAGGCGGGAGGGGTCACAGGTTGTAACAGGGTGGCCAAATAGCAAGTGTGAAAAATCAGGACAAAGACCCAAATGGCAGGACTTCCCTATAAAATCGGGACATCTGGTCACTATAGGCTGTAAACACTGAAGAACCAAAATGCCAGGGAAGGAAGACAAAGGGCTTCTGAGGGGACAAAATGGGACATTCTCAAGGGAGGGGTTGCTGGGAGTTGCTGATGAGAAGTGGTTCTCATAGACCTAGAGGTCAGAGGTCTGGAGCAGAGGAACCTCTGCCAAGGGCTGGCAAGCCTCTAGATAAGATACTTATGTGGTTAGGCCTCATATTGTTTTAAACTCTCTTTTTTCTGATGCTTTGCTGGGTTCCTACTGTTAAGTTTTAAAACACTTTGTTTTAAGAAAGCTGCCTGGTCACAGTTCTCCAAAGGGAGATTTGCAGGTGCCAAGCCCAGTTGGGCCTGGGACATCCTGGTAGCCAGGATGCAGTAGCTTGGGGACTGAGTGAATTGTGAGATTCCACCTTCAGAAAGGTAAAGGGTTGAGGCCTAACACCTGAGGGATGTTCTCAGAGAGACCGGAAAGGGGTCCTGTAACTGTGACACATAATATGGGTAATTTCTTTTGACTCTGTCAAACACCAGTGATGAATAGTGTCCATAAACAACCCCAGTTTTCCTTCCTCAAATGCTGTGTAATATGCTATTTACTCTTATGGCTACTACCTAAATACAGTTAGGTAGAAAAGGAAAGGATGCAACGAAACTGAAGAAGTCTCATAACTTCATACATATCTATCATTCACATTAATATTAACAGTAAAAACATACCTACAGTAATGAAACTGAAGGCCAGATTCTATTACCCTTACTCATAATGAGTAGCACCTTACTCTTCAAGTTGTCCCACTGAAATCAATGGAACTAACTGTAATAATAGTATGAGTAAGGGTATCTGTCCCTATGCTTGTAAATCTAAAATGAAAGTCAGGAAATGCAAAAGTTAAGGTATTTATAACCATATTAACATACTGACTATTAAAGTTCTCATGTACCACTTTAGCCACAGCACTGCTGGAGCTAAAGGAGAACTTATTTAGCTGTGAGAAAGCAGCAAGCTATACAGTCACTTGGACCAGCAAGCGAATGCAGTTATAAGATCCTGTGCTTTACTTTGTGTTTTACTGTATAGGTTTTAAACCCTACTATATTGTAGCTTCAGGAGTAGCCTGGCTGGAACTGGCGGCCTCTCTGTTGACATAAGAAGATAACACCACAGGAGGTTCATGTCCAGAAGGTTTCCTTGACAATTATAAGGGCTAGACACTTTTTTTCCCCAAGGGAAAACTTAGATAGGGTTACCATACGTCCTCTTTTTCCCGGACATGTCCGGCTTTTCGGCACTCAAACCCCCGTCCGGGGGGAATTGCCAAAAAGCCGAACATGTCCGGGAAAATGGCGGCTCTGC